AAGCAAACTGTGCAAAAAAAAGATTTGTTAACTTCACATTCAGAAATATCAAGTATGTACTTTTCCATCGACAATCTTGAATTTAGTGATTTTATTCCAATTATGTATCCAGCCGAACTCGGGATTAATCGACTACTGCATCTCATTTTCCCGCTTCATACTTAAATGTATCCTGAAATATGACGGGCGAGCTTTCTACCAGACTATCGAAGTGAATGACCAATTGTCCGTACCATTATAACGATGCTCCAGTACATAATCTGGGGACATCAAAATCTGTTTTGTGGTGATAACTAAGAAAATACATAAATAATAATATAATATGCAATTATCTCTAGTGTTATGTCAAATACTGTAAACAAAACACGCGTAATATCGACACATTTGTCATTCTCTTCTTTAGGTCAACAGACCAGTTTAAACCTCTTAGAAATGGCAATTATTTCCTAACTAACCACCTGTACCTGATATACGACTCGCGTCAGTTCAACAAATCTGACAAGTATCTCTCGGTAAATAGCACTATCATTGATTAAATGTAACGTCTAGGGATTGCCAAACTACACAAAATCGGAAATTGAAGCGATCTAATTTACGTAAGACATTACCCACCTGCAATTATTGAATAATTTAGAGGGGCATCGCAGGCTTTTCCTTGTGATCTACAGTTCACACGATGTGTTGCTAGTAAAATTAATCGATTTTGTTCTTTATTATGTTAGATTATATTACTATCATATGTGTGACATTTCTTGCAGAAATAAATTGCCTATTTATCTTCGCTTACGACCGCGATCAAACATGACAAGTAAATAGAGTAAACAAGCCGGTAGGCTGGTTGGCGATCCGCTCTGCTCAAAAACAAGCACATGTTTTTGGCTGTTTCCATAGTGTGACATAAACGACCGGCATAAACGTGAATCTAACGTCAGTTTATAACTAAATGGGCCCCGTATACGAAGTTCGCAAAAACCATCCAGTCTTTAGAAGTCACTCAGTTTATTACTAGGACGTATTCTGCTGTTAAATTTATTATTTCTAACTGTTTTGCGATAGTATTTTCTAGGATGAAGGCAGCATTTACAGTTCATTCTAAGTTGCGTTGGGATTACCTTGATACAGTGTAACAATGTCGGCGCCGGTGATCTCCTCCCAGTGCGCAACGTAACCAAAATAAAAAGCATGATCATTTGAACACTGTTAAAAGCCGTTGCTGGTGAAAAGTTACCCCAACTTTGGGGTCAAATTTCTCGGTAATGAAAAAAGATATAAAAAAATAAAATAGTAACATTGTGCCCACACTCAAGCTGAGTAGAATGAGCTATGCCTGAAGTGTTTTATCTTAAATTTGTAGGAGGAGATACATTTGGTGCGAAGCTGTCCAAAAATCAGTTGTTTGACTGTTTCTATGGCAACGGTGGGCCAAAACATTTTTTCATATTTTTCCTAATAACTAGGGTGAAGGTTTGACCTACCTGCCAAGTTTGAAGTAAATCGGCCAAGCTAAAAAAATTACAGAATAAATCATACGTGAAATCACTGGAAATCACAGACACACACACAAAACGACAAAAGTGAATATAAGGGCAATCCTAGCGGAGCGGATCGCCAATAGTGTGGGGGCCGGCGCTATAGACATAAAGTATAACACACAATAACAACGATTACAGGAAGTAGTTTCAGCACAGAGAGATATGCACGTCAGATGTAAATACGGCTACGTAAGAATACATTAGATGAAAATTGAGCTAATCAATGCATTCGATGGAGAATAGAGGCTTACCAATGCAATTGATGAAAAAACGATCAATTTATACATTTGTTCATTCAGATACCATACGTACAATACCGTATTTCATAATCGCAAACTACCATCTGAGGAAGATCTTTGTTTCACTTATTTAAACCCGGTGAAAATAAATATTCATTTCTTTTCGGTTGCATTCGCAATATCAAATAGGCAAAATAGTATTGACAATCTGTTGTACTGCAAACGATTCGCGGAAATGAACTGCATGGACAATTGAATTCTATGAATTGACGCCAGTATTACACTAAAATTGGCTACAGTACAAATTTGATTTGAGCAATTGATATCTTTACCTACAAATAAAGCCACGAAGATTGGGTTAACCTGCGACTGATTCTGATGCATTTAAATCAGTAAATTCAATAAAGTCGGCGGAGAATGACCCACGCAAAATAAGTCACGAATACAAATCAATTTTATTATAATAATGAATATTTCACATCATAAAAAACAACACAATTTATATTTTGAAATATATTATCTGTTACATACAACGCAGTAAGTAAATTACAATTACATAAAATATTCTACAAATATATTAACATTTTGGCTGTTTATATAAATACGATAGTGTGCATGTCAATACGATGTATGTAATATTATAATATTGTACTTATGTAATAATTCGTGCTTGACACGCGATAGGAACGTATTATCGACCTTTCTAGAGTTTATTTATATAAAATATAACTTTAAAGATTTTCTTTTTACACATTAAATGTCTATATACAATGTGTACTTAATATTGCGTGCGTTTGATTAACTAATAAATGTTGGATTCGAATTGACGTGAGCGAAAGAGTATCATTAAGGTGAAGGCAAAGGTGATCGGTTTACCAAATCAGCCGTGTACTATAAACATCAAAAAATAAAAGATTATTCAGTTTTATGCATGTTTGACTATTCATTTAGCGTATACAAGACGTAAATGCTAAATGCCACATATGAATGAATAGACGTGCCAGCTTTCTCTTTAGAGTTCTACTTGTTATTTCTACTACATTTTACATTCACCCCTGCCGCCTTCTTAGTAGTAATAGTGTGAATTTTCAGCGGCTGTAGTGGCCTTTTCATAACTCTCGACTACGTTGAGTGATGTACTTCTAGATATACCACGATTTTATTAATTTCCGATAATTCCACTCAGAATAAAACAACACTACATTATTCTGATAAAACTTGACAAAAGGTTTACTATTATTTTTTCGGAGATGATTGATGAGCACTCCGAAGGAGATAATGTTACGAATGATATGATGTTCTCTTCCTATAGCGTTCGAGCTTTCATTTAGTTCTGCATGCGAAACTATGATTTATTATAGTAATTTAAAATAAGTTAATTAAGCGCAGGTACGTTTGTCCCTAATGATGATTTAACGAGTACCAGGATGATTGGCAGTGTATCACTAAGTGGGAAAAAATCCATAGAGCACGAGCCGTTCTCGTGGCGAACCCACTGTAAATAACCGTATCGTTATATCTTAATGAACTGAGACTGGGTTTTGGGGGCAATTTGAGATAATGAGCGTACTTACACTGTGTTGCATATTAGTAAAAAAAAACATATACATGCAGGGTTTTTTTCCATCGTCGTTACAGAGGTCGAGTAGTAACATTTGTGTAATTATGGTGAAATGTGTCAATATTGAATGTGATTTGAAACGTTGCCATGTCAATTAGGTGCAAATCTGATGGAAAGTTTAGACACGTCATTAGAAAGGCAAAATCATGTATGTGTTAAATCCGGTTCCCTCCTTCATCGTCGGAGTTGATTCACATTAACTACTACTGTTGTGTGGCAATGTGAATAATTTGGGGAACTCGTACAATATAAGCTTCGCGTGTTCCGTATGAATGCTCCGCGAACTACTACATGGAGTGGCAAGTAGTAAAATTTAAAATGCCCCAGGACTTAAATAATTAAGTCTTGCCTGTTCCGCTTTTATTTCTGGTTTTCGATAGTTTCACGGATTCCCAGGGTTAGTGGTATTGCCGCAATCCGTCATTGTGAAACTGCATTGTGATTGTTCATGACGACAGGCGTGCGATGCAAGGTATTCGCAATAAACAACGTCGTTATAAAGATCGGAAGTAGCGCGTGATTGTCGATCATATTTATGTGTAATGTCACGTGATCTACCAGGCCGGCTGGTAAATTATCACTTCTCCTCGATTACTCGATTAATTGTTTTCACTGTTCACCCAAGCATCAACGAAATTCTGTTCCGAAGGCAAATCTTTCTAACGATGAAAAAACGCATCTCAATTTTAAATCATCCAATCAAACTACGTATATCGGAGTAATATTAAACATGCTCAACAAACATAATTACGTCAACAAAAACGTGTTCAGTGTAACTGAGTTATATGAATAATTGGTTAGAAAACATGTACTGATCACGGACGCTGTTCTGCGAGTATTGTAAGTTATTTACTTACAATTGTACATTAAGCACAGTTTAAAGTAGTACTAAACATACTCACATTTCTAGCTATATTATTTTGCTGAAAAAGCTTTTTCTGATATTTATATATACACACGCACAATATATGTATTACTGTTTCTAACCGGAACAAGATAACTGCATACGTATTTTTTTTTAAACATTAACCATATACATATATTTAATCTAATTTTCAACATAGCTGCAAAACATTTTAAATATTATATCATGTATCAGATGGAAACAAATAATATGTTTACAAGAAGTCGTTTCCATTGCCAAATCTTCATTTTACAATCATTATATTGTGTAAGTATGACGTAAATGAACTGAAATAAACTGAAATATTTAAGATTTAAACACATTTTTTGTATTTTTTTCTTTAAAGCATGCATTAATTTTATATATGATTAGTTTTGTATCTTAATATCTCCCGTGTAACAGCTGCCGTGAGTAAGTACTGTATATAACAATGATTGCAACATTATCTTATGAAAAAATTGTCTGGTATTTCTCTTGATAAGATTACGAATTGTTAGTGCATACACGTATGTTATCTCCTCGGGCATACATGGCACACACTTCAAGATATCGTTATTTGCTGTAGCGCTGTTGAAACTGGGCTCATCAATAACCCAGAACAGGTCACGGCAATACTGTGTCTTAGATCATAAACACTAGTGTACAATCCCAGAAATTGTTTCGTTCAAGCAGAATTTGCTCTCAGACTATTGAAAAACCCATATTCAATCATTAGAACTATGGTGGGCGTGTGTGCTATTGAACGGACTGACCTTGTTGTCTTTTCGACAAAATAATACTAAAAATCCATCGCGAAATTGACGGTTCCTCAATGCATATATGAATGGATTGATGCATGAGTTGCTGAATGCTAGAACAGTGAACACTCTGTAGACAGCGTCCTCTTGGTATATGGGTGCGCCAAATCCGAAACTGGCCAGGAACATGATCTGACTCGGCGTCCAGCACACGAAGAACGTGACCACAACAATACAAAGCATTTTGATGACTCTCCGCCGCGCTACAAGCATTTCTAAGTCACGTTCCTTGTTAACGTCAGTGGAACGTTGCAGGTTTGAGGTGTCGCGTTTCAGGGACGAGATAATGCGTAGATATGCGTACGTCATGAAACACAAAGGTGCGATGTAGGTGCACATGAACCATACGAGACAATTGACTGCTGCTCCCGTTGCAGTGGACCAGTATATCGTACAGTACTCACCGTCGTAATCATATATAACGAAGGAAAATATTTGTAGACATAGTGAGAAAGACCAGGACAAAACAATGATAATAATTGCTTTTTCTGCGGAGAAATAGGCTTGATAGCGAAAGGGGTATACGATAGCAAGGTAACGCTCGAGTGTGACACCGACTAGGTTGAATGTTGAGGCCGCAACGCTGATCCAAAAGAAAACCTCGGAATAAATAAATTTGCAAAACAATATTCCGCCAACCCCGGGTGGTACTGGTAGCATCAGTAGTGCACGTTGTGAAACTAGGGTGAGAGAAGCCATAAGATCAGCCATTGCCAAGCTGATGATAAAGTAATTCGTGACAATCTTACGCAGACGGCGGAGACCAAGAAACACCAGACACACAGTCGCGTTACCCAGAATACCAATAACACCGAAAGCGATAAGTGAAGCGTCAACAACATCCCATGTTACCGTACTGCCGGTTACCTCCTGATTCAGGGTAGTATTAGACGTTACATTGAAAGCCATGCCGTAAACGAATCTATCTGTCTGTCTGTAAAATAATTTTGAATCTGTTCAATGAGAAATAATTAAGAACTTTAACGCAGTATATCAAGTCGTATCGTCCGATATGTGAAGTAGCTCTATAAAAGATGTCAAGTCCAACTGTTACAGAAAATGTTTAGATATTTCCACTACGTAACTGTACGGAGTTTCGCGCATAATCGACAGGCATGCGTGCATCAGTGAAACTGTCGTGTTTGCCAAGATACGACGCCGGAAACAGTCCTCACCACATTCCGAAGAGAAATAACATCAGTGCTAGGAAGGAAAAATGATGATACAAGCGCGTAACCAGAGAAACGAAAAGCTACAATAGACGACGCTGACACGTGATATGCTATCGCGAATCATGGAATCATGGACAACGCCCCCATATGTGACGTCATGATTGAAAGCTTGCTTCTCCGATAAAAATATTACATATCCTCGTACATGACAAACACAACTGTCGATAGAAGTGAAAGATTTGGAATATTTAATAATGAGTTTAGCAAATTCCTTACTATGGCTGTCACGACGAATTATCGACGTTAAACATAATAGTACTAGAACCATGCCAGTTCCTTGGCGACACTGCATCAAGGAAATGGTGCTTGCCAATGATTTTTTTTTTCAAATATTAACTGACATGTCATGTCTAACTCAATAACTATCAGGCAACACACAAAATCAACAAATGTTGACCCCACTTTGACAGACCCCGATTCATAGTGCATTAGCGAATTAAAAAATAAAGGTGTGTGCCTCTAATATCTCGCTATTCTCGGGGGAAAACAAACAAACAAACAAAAGTTAACCATTCAAGTCAATCCCGAACATAAAGGGTACACCTTAATTAGTTTTCTTTCCAAATAAACATGTGAGGAAATATAGTTTAGTTCAAACAAAACGGGTGGCAAATGTGGCGCACAGTCAAGGGATATGTATTCAGGTTTCGTTTTGATTAACATCACAACATTCAATTAAAGGTCGATAGTTGGTTTTCGCGCTGTTAATGAAAAATTCAAAACTGCATTGAATAGTTGTGCTATGATGGGTAAAATAACTTGTAAGGCTAATCATACCAATAGCAAGCCAATCAGAGTTCCATCAATGCCTAACTGCTCACGGGATTTCCTGTTCCCAAAACTCCCAGCATATATAGACAACGCCGTTTTGTATGTGCTGCATTAAAATGCCCCAACAAACGCTCGACTTTTAGTTGTTAGCTATCTGGGCTTCTTTTAAATTAGATATACCGTAAGTGGCTTTCCGTCGTGATCCGCTGGCTATAGATTAGATCGAAATGAACGATGATGTGACATATATGTGGTCCGCGTGATAGTGTAAGCATGTTGAGTTGGAATTGTTTCAGTATGAATGACTCACTCGTTTATAGTCCCGATGACACGTTAATGGACATTTCTCAATTTGTTTCAGATTAATGAATATCCCAATACAGGTGTCGTATATTTCGATATACGTGTTGTCTCCGTATGGCTAGCCACATGCATTATTCACAGCCACATACCTTGATAGACACATAGGGGGTTAATTGGAATTTCTTGGGCTATACTACAAGTTGATCGATCGTTTAAGATTCAGTATGGAGTTTTAGAAGCATAAAGTCTCGATCAATCCAAGCTAAATGCATGCCACTAGGTTTTATACAAAAAGACAATTCATGACGCAAGGATCGATGATGTCCATATAATAACATTGCGCGCGTGTAGACGCGTATCGTAAATTTCTTTGCATTCATTCCTCCTGGGACCATTAAAAAATAAGACTATTGCAATTATTGATAGTATATTACAATTGTCGTGTAATTGATTAAAATTCATTTGTGTCATTATCGACACAGTGCTGGGAATACTGATGCGGCTCTCTATGCCAGATAATGGATTCGGTTAATGCGTATGCAGAGAAGAAACGCTCGAGCATCTGGTATGTCAAATTGTGATGCATTAAGCAGTAACTATTTTGTGGTACTGCACTCTAATCAATAATTCAGCTGTGGATAAGCATTATTGCAACTGTTTGAATCACTATTCACGTTTTGGATTCTGAATAGCATTTTTCAATCGACATACATGAATTATTGACAGGGATGATTAATTAGCATGGTACATCATTCAACAAAAAACTAAAAGTACCAACCATTACAAAGAAAACAAAGTCAGCGAAGTTTAGATTGCGCATTTACTGAAGTCAAGGGTCAAGGTTTATAAGAGGCACGTTTTCGATAAATTGGGGGTTATTCGCGGAAACTAGCAGACTGATCTATTTATTTGTGTTTAGTACGATAAAACACATTCAATTAATATCCGCGAGTGTGTGTATTACGAGGCAACTGCCGTATACATTATGTATGTATATACTCGAACTAGTTACAATGTGTTTATGATAATAAACGCCATAGTTACGGACCGCATTCTGTTAAGAGACCGAAGGGTGCTTATGATAGGCTGTTTATGAGACGCTGACTTTCGATTGAGATGTTGATATGACCGACTTATACCACGACAAAAGCGGTACAACAATCAGCTACTTTGTCCCATAAGGATTAATTAACACACACTCAGAATGTATGTTTAACGCGCTGTCGTCTGCTCATTACGTATTCAATGCATACCACGTGACATTGAGAAGACCTTTCCAATGAGTCTATAGTATCGAGAAACCCCGAACGGCCAATCCTCAAAAGCTCTAAATGATGAGGTTGGTACTGGCAGTTTGAACGCCAACCAATTATTTAAATTCCCAATAATTGAGAAACAAACATCTCCTTTTCGTCTACTGTTGACAATTAGTGCAGTAGTACCCAATGTGCATGCTCTGATTTACAATAACAGCTCATAGGTTTATATGTACAGAAAAAATACAATGCATTTTTATAAGTTATGTAGCGATTACACTGTATGGAAACATGTATCATTCTGTTATACATAATTTGTGTGAATGCTCCGAGTCTGACCATTTCCTCTAGTATAGCACATTTCTCTACTACTGTACACATTGGCTTATGTATGTGTGTAAATGTACTTTGTCTCATGAATAATGTTATATGTCCACTATACTTTAATGAAATCCATAATGACTATTGATTTTCGATTAGTCGATGGGCACGTTAAACATTAAACGTTAAACATGACAGAACAGCTTCGGTGTGATAGTTATTTTTAAAAAAATTATGAAAATCGATAATGTACAATGTTTGTTTATCCGAATCATGTATTTCCAAAGCTAATATCATTTATTGTATAGGTTAATCAATAAACAGTTAGTCTGCTGAAAATGGAATGCTCAAACAAATCACTGGTTAATATTTATTATTTCTAAATTTGCGTTATGTGTGCAACATCATGTCAGTTATTGCGAATAAATCACAGATCTCTGGCATCAACTTTTCTTTTGAATAAATACAAAATGTGACGATGTGATTCACATGAAACGTGACTAACAACTCAAATGAACCAAATACTATTGCATAATTGGCTATTTAATTTTGTTTACAAGTAATGAAAAAAAGCTATGAAGATCATTCTATAATTTTTGAAAACACGCCTTCAGCAACTTGTCATTATTAATTAAAACAACTGAATAGCCGTTGTATGTGAGTTCAACGGAAAGTATAGTTTAAGTGACATGTGTTTAAATTGATGACTTACGATAAATATATGTTGGAGTACGCCGTCTTGTTTATACAAATGATTATAAATATTAAAGTACCTGATGTGTTCCCAGACACATGAAAATCTGAGAGGATGTAGTAGAGGTTAATGTGTTAGCTTGAATACAATACATAGATATAATAGTATACTGCATGCTTAATTGGACATTACTAGTAAGTCTGACTTCCATGTGTGTCATTCAATATGTAGCATTGACATTTAATCTGTGACATTAACCGACGTGTGTACGTGTAGTATTTTAGAGTGCTCCAACGGTTCTTTGTTGTAGTGGGACATATAAACAATACATACAATGGCAATCCGAGGGGGAGTGGTTGAATCGACAACCATGCAGAAGATAGATCAAATTATCATCAGATAATGACTGAATTATACGGAAAGCTACGTATACAAACTAATGTAAGCTATTACGTAGAGAGAAACTGAAACAATTCATAATCTTGTGAATATATTGTCCAGCAAAAACGACGTCATTCCATAAAGCGATTTAAGACTGGCATTGCAGTATTGTTGTGATATATAAATCAGTTATCGCGAAATAAATATCGAATCTGTATGCTAACTGTCGCAGTAATATGCCAGAAACTGCCATTATGCAAATTCCCGATTACTGCACAATCTAATGCTTTGCAAAGTTTCCATTTCAGCGAGTATTGCATAGTGATACTGATTGCATAATTGATACATACATATTGCTGACAAGGCGAAGACAATATTTCATACATTTTAAAAATGGTTGATTTGTGAATAATTGGAGCATATTTTTTTTTACAAATAAGTGGAACGTACATTCACATATTGCGAATGAGCCACAGATAACAATAACGGTATCGATCTGGCAGTGAGCAAGAAATAAGACCCCCGTCATTAAACTGTATCATAATTTTAGTTTTACATGGATAAACACTTTGCTGGCATTGGCAACCTCTGTGACAGTAGTTAAGACTATTTATTAAACGCATCGTTGAATGCGTTGAAGAATATGTAGCTCGATATCAACATTAACCACACTTTTCATCACACTTGAATAACGATGAATGAATTATTGACGAACACAACATAATTTAATAGGTAATAGTTATGTTTAAAGGATTATTTTAATCGATAAAATCATGAGAAAAAACAGCTGAGTGTATCTATTCAAACGAACAAATTAATGCTATAAAGAATACAATAATATTACTACATAATAAAGAGGTCATACATAACGTCTAAGTATTAACGTAAATTATATATACAACTTTATATTGATGATTAGAGCCACCCGAACCAATGTATTGAGAGATGATT